TCCTCTGCATGGCCCTACTCTGAACCCAGCCTCTGTTGTCTTTTACCCAGTGTCCTGCACTGGCCTCCCCCTAGAGCCCCTATTCCCTACCCATCAGCTTGAGGCTCAATACCATCCTGTGGAAAGCCCATCCCACCATGACCTACCAGGACCCACGACTCAGCCTAGCTCCATCACCTCTCTGGCCCCTTGTCTGCCACTCTCTGTCACTTCAACACTCTGGTCTCCTCCATGCTCCTGGAGCTGCCAGCCTGCCCTCTCCTCAGGGCCTTTGCACTTGCTGTTTTCCCTGTCTTGTTGGCTCTCCTCGGTAACCTGGTGCTAGTGTTCTTCACAGCCTTGTTGTCTGGACTGCAGCACCCACGTCTGTCCATCATGCCCAGCACAGCCCCTCCTGCTCTCTCTGCTGTGCTATTTCCTCGTTCACACGGTCACCATGTAATAGACATGTGCTGTTTATTCTGTTGGCTTTCTTAGTAAGCTGGAGGGAGGGGATGCCCATTTTGTTTACTGCCATAAACTGGATTGGATCTCAAATGGTGCCTGCTACACAGCAGTTTACCAAACACGTGCTTATCTGTCATTCATTTGTTCAGTCCCTGTTCCCTCCTCTCTGCTACCTGCTCCCCCAATCCCCTCTTCTCCTAGTACATGAAAACTCTGCCCACTATGTGGGGGCTTATCACTCCCCTCCCCCTGTGCCAAGCACAGCACTTACATAGGTAGAAAGCCCAAGTCTTGTAGCCTGGAGGGAGATAGTTACGGGATGGGGTCCTCAGGGAGGGGAGGCTAGGGGCTAGAGGCCCCAAAGAGGCCTTGACCTCCCTCAGGGACAGAGGCCAAGGCAATATGGTCTGGGCTGTGAGCCAGCCTGGCCTCCCACTCACCCATCTTACCTGGGCCTCCACGTCCGTTAGCCTGCGGGTCTGCGCTGTGGTCTGGTTCAGGAGGTTGCTGCCCAGGTCCAGCACGGTGGCCGTCTGGTTCTGGACTACGTACTGCTGAGCTTGTGTCAGCTCTGACCTCAAGTTCATCTGGATGTACTGCTCCAGCTGCGAGGAAATGGTGGGCTGGGGTCACCGGGTAAGGGCTAGGAAAATCTCCTGTCCCTCCCTCGTGTCTCCATGGAAAGGCACAGAGCTGCCAGGGGAGGCTCAGAATGTGCCAGGTCAGGTCAGCCTTACCCCTTACCTGGTCTCTCTGCCTCTTCCCTTGTCCCATACATAATCCATCCTCCACTTGGCACAGCCAGAGGGATCACAACGAAGCCACTGCCTTCCTCTGCTCAATACCACCCAGGGTTCCCATCTTACTCAGAGGAAAAGCTAAAGTTCTCCCCCAGCTGCAGGGTCCTCCATGGCTGGGCCTCCCAGTACTACTCTTTCTCAGTCTCCTAACCTCCCTATATCCCTCCCTCTACTGCAGAGATAATGCTTCTATGACATCCCCCCAACACGGTGAGCATACACCCACCTCAGGGCCTTTGCACATGCTGTTTCTTCTGTGTTCCTTCCAGAGCCCTTTCCCCAAACCCCCATCCCCATGGCTCACTCCCTCATGTCATTTCAGGTCTCTTCGTACACTTATCACTCCCTGACTTTACACTACGTATCTGTCTATTGTCTGTTGTGCCCTGTAGAATGTCTGCGTCATGAAGCTAGGGTCTTGGCCTTGCTCAGTTCTTTATCTCCACATCCAGCACAGTACTCAGTATACAGTGGGTGCTCAATAAATATGTGTTCAATGAGTTGATGGAAAAGAGGCTGCAGCAAGGGTCAGAGAGGAGCCCCCCAATCTCGTGCCCTTTCCCCAGCTTCCTAGGGGTGAGCCTGTCAGCAGGGGTTGGGCACACATCTTTCTTGTACAAGTTTGTAGGTCCATTTGCCAAGCTGAACTCTCTGTCTTCTGGCTGCCTCTGGCTGCCAAACAAGGCTGGACCCCCAGTCTCCCAGGGCTCTGGAACCTCACGTACAAATATTCCTTTTTCATAGGGCTGTGCTTTCCCAAGAGCTGGAGGGACTGGTCTCACACACAGCCAGGATCAAGTTGCAAAGGTGAACAGCGCGTTCTTAGGCTCTGTGCCTGCAGGCAGAGAGCCCAAGCCCTCCGCCCACCATTCTGCACACTCTCTGGCCTCTGGCCACCTCCCCTTGCCTGTCTCTGCCTCTTACCCTCTCACCCAGGCTTCCAGGAGGTCCAACCAGACAGTTCAACCCTGGAAGACTGGGCTCCCCAGGGAGGGGTGGTGATCTTGACTGGGGGCGGGCAGGCTCTGGCCTTTCCTCCTTCATCTCTCCTCTCTTCCATTTCAGTTGCCTGCCCCATCCCACCACCAGCACCTTGGGAGGAGCACATCTCATTGTCAAACCCAGAGGTTTGTGCATGGGCAGGGCTGGCATTGACTGACTGAAGCAGTGTTTTCCTCAGTGGGACCCTGGGCTGGGCATCCCTGAGGAGCTCACTTGCAGGCCCACCTGGACTTCCTGAGTTGGGAGCTCAGGGGCCAGGAGAGGGGCACACTTGCTATCTGTGCTGTGACAAGTCTCCAGCTGAATCGCACAGTCCAGCTTGCTCAAGTGTGATAGTCCTTGGCTAGAGATGGCAGGGCACAGAGAACAGAGGAAACAGTGCTTCAGAGCTGCTCAGGCCTTTGCCCCCCGCCCCTTCCTGTTTCCACTGATTCATACACACTGCCTCATGGCCTCCATCCGGCTGCCTCCATGATTTCTTTGATCCTCTCAGCACAAAGCAACTTGAACAAGTTGTCTCCATTTTCTTACCTCCACAATCACCTGCCCTTACAAAATTCACCTATAATTATGGTGCTCTTCTCACATACAAAAAAAGATGATGAAAAACAATGGCCCATGAGCTGAATCCTTCTGTAAACATCCCCCACCTGGAACATGTCTCCCACCTCCAGGAAGCCCCTAGGATCTTTAGCTCACCTTGACATGGTGAGTTAAATTGCTACGGCACTGAAAAAGCACCCTATCTTCCTTGATCCATCACCAGCATGGCCCTGAATGCACTTCTGGATGCTTCTTCTCCTTCTCCTCCACTCACCCTTCTCTGATACCTACCTGCTCGGGTTCCTATTAAGTGGGGGGGCCCTTGTGGGCCAGTCCTAGGCCCTGGCCTTTCTGTACCTCCTCTCTCTAGGTCAGGAGCCCTCAATAGGGGAACCACAGGGCCTGTGAAGATACTTCAGGGGCCCCAAGAATTTGAGTGAGTAAAAAAAGAAAATGACATTTTCTATCTGTGACCTGTAATTAAAAATTGGCATTTCCTTCCATTATGAGCTTAGGCCACAAACCAGAGCGGTCCCAGGAGGCTCTGTGACTTCACGGCCAATAAAAGTCACAAATGTTTTCATATTCAACATGGTTGTGAGCAGGATCTTGCAATATTTTTTTTATCATGACTTTAGAATTATAGACTTTATCAAATGTCCACTGGATAATGCTATGACTCAATTACAGATTCAGTTTTCAATATTTTGATTATAATTTCAGTATTACTGGGTGTTCTTATGCCTTTATTTTGCGTTTCTGAGACAGAATCCATAGGCTTCAAATTCCCAGAAATATCCAGGCCTCGCACAGGTACTAAAACCCTTTCTTAGACTTCCAGCCATCCCCTTGTGTGCCTAAGGTGCCCTTGCCACGGTCACCGGCTCCCTCTCAGCCAGGTTTCCAGCTGGCATCTCAAGAACAAAGCTTCAGCACCAACCTGACTTCTCGGCGCCCACCCAGTTCTCCCAGTCTTTCCCATCTCGGTCAACAGCCCCAAACCCAGACCTTAACCTTGACTTCTCTTTCTCAACCCGTATACCCTCTACTCACTAGTGAGGTCTGCCCACTGAAGTCCCAGTGTATATTTGTAATCTGCTCATTTACTCCCTCGTCTCCCCAGGCTGCCTCCTGTGACCCCCACCCCCCCAACTCTGCTCCCAAGGGATCCCTGTGGCTGGCTGGGCTGAACAGTGGGCAGGGCAAGCCAAGCTGCGCTGAGGCTGCCTCAGACTGTGCTGAGCACCAGGAAGCTCCTGGAACATGGATTAAAATACAGACTCCCAGGCCTGAGCTTCTGCTCCTGGCATCAAGCAGCAACTTCACTCCAGAGTTAAGACCTTCCCAGGCATGGCTCCCAAGCCTCTCAGAGACCCAGAAGACCTGCCCAGGGTCACCGCCCACCAGGTCTGCAGAGTTGGGGTCATCTCAAGTAACTGGAGCTGAGTATCCACCCTTGTTCCCCCACTTGTCCTGTGGCTACAAGTGGCTGGGCAGGGCAAAGGCTACCCACAGCTGGATCCCATCACCCAATTTGCCATGCCTGCCCCCCAGCATGGGCCATGGAATGGATAATCTGGACCAGATGGACTGGTTCAGCCAGGCTGGGGCTTTGGAGACCAGCATTGGCCTGGGTGATGGGGGCTGGGCCTGGTGCAGGGCTCAGGGCAGGGGAAGGGTTCCAATGGAGAACCCAGTTCAGGATTGGACCTGCCCCTTCTCCATCACCCTCATTCTGGCAAATTCTCAGTCCTGAGCTAGGGAATGGGGGCCTGGTCCCCCAGCAACCTGTACAGTTTTGGCCCCTGGGCCACAACCCACTCCCCTTGGCTCTGGGTTCAAGTTCAGACTCTGCTACAGTCTGGTTGTGGGCCTTAACAGAGATGCTACATGTCTCTGAGTCTCACTTTACAAATCTGTGGTATGGGGACAGTAAACCCTGCCCTCTGCTGGACAGAGGGCCTTTGGAAAGGACCACAAAGGAAGGGGCAGGAGTTTTGACAGGCAGGGAAGGGAAAGGGAGGGGCTCCAGATAGATGGCACATGCGTATCTGTGGATGAGCTGTTCAGAGTGGGGAGGCCTGCTTGGGTCTGTCTCTCACCTGCGTTACTTGTATCACGTGGACTTTAACTGGCACATGGATAAACAACTGTGGTACAACCACGCAGTAGGCAGAGTTCAGCAATGAAAAGAATGAGTCTCCTATCAAGCCACAACATGGGTGAACCTCACACAGATTGTGTGGAGTGAAGTATGCCAGCCCGGGAGGGCTGCACGCTGCGGGATTCCTTCCAGATGACTTTCTGGGAAAGTCAGAATCCGGGATTGCCAGGGACAGAGACCTGGGGTGTGAATGGCTGCAAAGAAACATGGAACTTTTGGAGGGTGTTGACAGTGTCCTGTATCACGGTTGTGATGGTGGTTACATAGCTATGCATTTGTCAAAACTCATAGAACTGTACGGGAAAAGAACTAATTGAGCCGGGCCCAGAGGCTCACGCCTGTAATCCTGGCTACTCAGGAAGTAGAGACCTGGAGAAATGAGGTTCGAGGCCAGCCCAGGCAAAAAGTTTGTGAGACTCCCCTCTTACCCAATGGATGGGCACAGTGGTTCATGCCTGACATCCCAGCTACTTGGGGAAGCACAAACAGGAAAATTTTGTTCCAGGCTGGCCCAGATATAAAAGTGAGACCTTATTCAAAAAAGAAGTAAAGCAAAAAGGGCTAGAAGGGTGGCTCAAGTAGTACAGGGCCTGCCCAATGCCTAGAGTTCAAATCCCAGTACCACTTCCTCTCTCCAAAAAAGAAAAGGGATAATTGTACTGTGTGTGGGTTATGCCTCAATAAAAACAAACCTGCCAGCACAAGAGTCTGTGCCTGCCCCGTATATAAATATGTATTACAATATTAAAGTCGTTTCTGCAAACCGACCCCTTCACCCCCAGTTTCATCCATGTATTAATTTAGGAGTTAATTCCATGAGCACCTACTAAGGGCTGCCTCTGTACTGGGTCCTAGCAAATCAGGAATGAACACCACTGGCAAGTTTCCTGATTCCAGGGCTCTTCCAAAAAACAGTGAGTTAAATTGCAGTAGTGACGCACACTCTGAAGAAACCAAGCCAGGGGAACGAGCAGAGCAAGGGCAAGTTAAGCCAGAGCAGCAGGGAAAGCCTCAGGAGAGAGGGCCATCTGAGCTGAGAGGGTGAGACAGGGGTGAGCTGTGGGAGTCAGGAGGGGGGCATCCCAAGTGAGGAAGC